GGGGAGGGCCTTCTCTGTGGGTGCCCCTACCCTCTGGAATGAACTACCCCCCGAGATTCGGATGATCCCGGATCTCCTTACCTTCCGTCGCGCCCTCAAGACATGGCTCTTTCAGCAAGCGGACCTGACCTAGGGAGGATTTTATACTGGGTTCATTTTTAGGAATTTGGAAGACACAACTTTAAAATTTGGTTTAATTTGGTTTTATAGGGGGGGATTGTATATATGCTTTTGTTTTAAATATGTTGTGCGCCGCCCTGAGTCCCGCAGGGAGAAGGGCGGCATATAAATTAAATTAAATAAATAAATAAATAAATAAATAACCTGTTAGAGTTTACAACTCACCCAGCACAAAATAAGCCCAAAAAATAAGCACACATTCAAAATGAGCAGGAGGCATAGTTTAGAAAAACTTTGTCTATAAAATACATAAAAAACATGACACATACAGTTTCATTCAGCTTTGGGGAACATGAACAACTCTTAACTTGTAGATCAGAAAAACATAGAGAAGACTAAGCTGGATCACATGCCTCACACATCCAATATTATGTCTTAATAAAAAAAAACAGTTCTCATTGGTTGGTTTGTTGCTATGGCTATTCCAGTTCATAAAATTTCTTTCACAATGACAGACGTGATGTAGCAACAAATGCCTTACTTACCCTTTTGAGGGAGACATTATCATGACCTCACTTGTATCTCATGTCTCTACAATTCTAAAAACTAAGCAGTCATTTTTAATTTAGTTCACCATCATGGCAGCCATATAAAATTAGCGAATAAATATACAAAGAAATAGCAATAGTACTTAGACTTATATACAGCTTCATAGTGCTTTACAGCATTCTTTAAGTGGTTTACAGAGTCAGCATTTTGCCCCCAACAGTCTGGGTCTTCATTTTACTGACCTCAGAAGGATGGAAGGCTGAGTCAACCTTGACATAGTCAGGATCAAATTCCTGGCAGTGGGCAGAGTTCTCCTGCACTATTATATTCTAATCACTGAACTAAAGAACAGCTCCACTAAGGTTGACAGCCCTAATGTGTAATGAAGTTTTCCTTTATTTATTTATTTATTTATTTATTAAATTTATATCCCGCCCTTCTCCTTGCGGACTCAGGG